AGACATTAATCTCGTAATTAGAAATAGGACATTTTTAAAAATTACGTTCTCTTTACACCGATAATACCCTCATACTCCTTTAGACCAGTTTATTTTTTCCAATATCTGATCAAGAATTAAACATCTTATGTCATTTTAGTCTTTAAGAAAATTTAATAGTCTTTTTAAAAGAGAATTCATTTCCCAATTTGCCTTAATATTATTTCTCAGTTATTATTCTGCCTGAAAGGTTTGAAGTACAATAGATGAATTGTTATTGAAAATCCAAGTTTACATGAGACAGAAAGAAAAATAGATTCCAGTTTCTTTAATCTTTTAAAAATACATGTAGAGATAAGTTAATAAATTTCACTATTCTAATGAAGTTAAAGTAATTTTATAGAAAAATCAAAATGCCCATGTTCTTAATTAGCTTCACTCTTGCTGAAAGGCCTTGGGCAGGTAATATTTTTTCCTTTGTAAAAGTTCTGAATTTTTTTTTAAGTTACTGTAAAGTGGTTAGCAAATTTGATAGATCTTTATTAAATTAAAATATTACAGTAGCATTGATGACCTTTTTCTATTTAAAAATATGAGTGTTTACATATGTAAAATTTTTCTGTTTTTCTATTATTTGGAAAAGGTTGTTTCTTTGATTTTTGTTGAGTTGGTTCATATTTCTTTTGCTTGCATTTCGTACATTCTCTATTGTTTAAAAAGATTCTACTATCAGTTGGCAAAGTTAGGAAATAACCAGTTACAGTTTAAAAAATAATTTATGGAAGTTTGGAAAAATGCTAAGTGAGCTTCTTAAGCTGAAACACTATTATCTGTCTAGATTTCTGACCCACACACACCCTCGAAAAGAGTGACAGCAAATTTTTACGTGGTGTTTGGTGGCAACTTTTTTTTAATATTGCAGAGTGTAGTTTGTGTAAGTGAACAAGAATGACAGCTTTACCAGAACTACACGTACTGTTTTCACTAACTGTGTAATAAGGGAAGTGCTAAGATTATCGAAGTATGGTGTGGCCCACAGTCTTTTAAACCATATTTTCATGGTCTGAATTCTAGGAGTAACTCTAACAGAATGAATAATGAAAAGGGTCAATGGACCAGAGTGACTGTATTGACCTCTGTGAAAGGATCTAGAGGGACATGTGTGTATAAAGTAACCTGATATCATTACCTACTCAGAGACTTTTAGTTGACTATAAACCAGAGTAGGTTTTTTTCCTGCATGTGTATTTTTTATTGAAGTTTATAGTCAGTGTGCAATGTTGTGTCAGTTGCTGGTGTACAGTGTAATGCTTCAGTCATACATGAACATACATGTATTTGTTTGCATGTTCTCTTTCACCATAAGTTATTACAAATATTCAGAGTAGTTTTTATTCCCTTGATTCACTCAACAAATGTCTGTTGCATACTTCCTGGGTGCAAGACCTAACAATTAAACAGTCGTGTTAGAAAGAGAAGCCAGAAGGCTGGGTTCATGATGTGAACGGATTTTGGTGCAGCACATCCTAGCATCTGGGCATTAGTTTTGCACATAAGAGAACCTTATTTTATCCATTCACTCACATTATTGGTCTGTGAAAGACGGACTTTGTTAAATGAAGCTTACTAATAGCCAGGATGTCGGCTTACTTATTTATAGTGCAAAAAAAAAAAAGATACTGCTAGAAAAACATGATAGATCAGGCCATTCTTTCACAGTAGGAGAGTGTAGTTGGAAGTCAGCTTAAGATCAGATGCAGATTTCAGGCCCTCTGAGGCCTTGATGGAGAGAAATCTGCCTCAAACATCTGGGGAAAGAAGTGATGGTCCTAAACTAAATAGGGACACTTCTTCACAAGGTCATACATTATCTGGTTTAGCTCATTTGAATAGCAGACCTGTAGAGTTTTGAGGTTAAAACACCGTACATAATAAGGGTTTAAGACCTAAAATCTGTAGATTAC